TCATTGCTGGATTTATAGAAAAACACCAACCAATATTGCATAATGGAATATAATTAAATAATTCATAATAGTAATTGAAAAGATTTCCTTTCTAATCTCTTTCAACTCCATTTCGCTTTTTCAATGAGACTCTGCCACTTCACCATGCACGACTCACCTGTTGCCTATAAATTGATTGTGAACCCTTTGGCTCATTCTTTTGCACTCTTTCCTGGCATTTTGATGCATAACTGTGTGTGTCTTCATGAATTACGTGAGTCCATCTATTAATTTGATTGAGTTTACATTGTTTATGCCTTTTTTATATTTAATGTCACTGTCAGCCTGTCGCTGCTAATTGATTAATTTGTTTGCCAGACATGTTTGAGCCATGTTGAATTTTGTTTTTTTCAATGATTTTTTTATTGTATATTTCTTTATCTCCTTATGCAACAACACACAAACAATGCATTGATCCAAAGTCAACAGGCACCTAAGACGAAATCTTTATATTGCGCTGCATTACTGTGTTGTTGACTATTACTTGACGGTTAAGTTGTACTGTTGACCCTCGCGCAGCCTCTCGAGCAGAAATCTACACAAATGAGCGCAGAACACACTCAGACCCCATTTACACCTGGTATTAAAATGCGATCTGTATCCAGATAAGTTATCCGGATAATAAAAAAACGCATGTTAATGCAAGGTGTAAATGCGTTGTGATCGCGATCGGATCTGCCTGACCACATCTGGAGGTAGTCTGGCTCGCATTGTGTCCGGATCTTTACTAGGTGTAAACGCAATCTGGTTGTTGAAACCACATATGTATATTTTAATCCTCCCAAAAAGGCAAAAAAATAAACGAGTGAGCTTGTTATATAGGCTATATATGTCATGTTATAGTCAGATATGACGGCGCTACTGCGACACGGATCACCCATCACCGCAGATGAGCAGCTGAGCGTCTATTCATCGAGCCAACGTGCAAACATCGCAAATAAAAGTGAAAGTAAGTCACAGAGGCTTAACACACAATCATCTTCAAGTAAAGAAACGAAATTATCTTACCAGCGGTGTTGCCACTCTTTTATTGATGTCTTTGATTGGAAATTAGCTGATGATCAACGAAATGCAGCTCATATCTGTTGCTTTTGGTGTCGTTCAATCCATTAAATCTGCATACGCGGAGTTTAAGATCGGATTTATATCCGTTTGCAAAAAACACATTTATGTGGCCAGGTGTAAATGGAATCGCTACTTATTATCCGGATAACTTGTCTGGATACAGATCGCATTTTAATACCAGGTGTAAATGGGGTCTCTTATTTTTCCTGAACACCATCACGATTGAAAATGTGACATTGATTTCCTACAACAGTTCAATAAACAGTAAAAAATTAAATCACTTACATTTTAGATGCTATATTGGCTGTTTTTGTTGTGTTTCAGCAGCGAAAATAGTTCCAAACATAATCACAACAGAACCACGGCACATGTCACAGGAACACTCGACGTGTTTTCATTACTGAATCATTCAGCATTTTGAACGAATCGATTGAGTCAAAGATTCAAAGACACATTCAAAAACATCGGTCTCATTCTGAATGATCAGCCGTTTGAACGAATCGTTTGAATGAATGAATTGAATGACTCACTCATTAAGACGGTCGCCTGCCACCACCTACTGGCGGTTTAGTGTTAAATGTTTAAAAGTAGTATCATTCTTTCCCAGTTTCTTATGTAAATTTAAATAAATGTCATAACATTATTTTATGCAATTGTGATTTTTCAGTGTAAATGATTTAATTTGATCAGACCCTAGAGTAACAGCCCATAGTGTCTTATTATTCAAAATAATACACCTGAATTTATAGTTTACCCACCTCTTTTTTTTACCACTACACCTCTGACCATAGTGTACATTAATTGACCACGTTCTAGCATGATTTATCATTATTTACAGTGATTGGGGCTTGGATGATTGGATTTTAATGTGATTCTAGGAATATAGTATAGCTATTTACCACGTTAATAGCAATTATGTGAAGATTCAGAACAACTGAAGTGATAAACTTTGACAAAAAAAATGATTGTGTTCAATATTTGACTAAATGTGTTGCAAATGTTAAAATAGTTAATTAATAAAGTCATAATATTAATTATAGTTGAGTAGTGAGACAATTACTATTTTGAACAGCAGAGGGCAGTAAAACACCACTTATTGGCTTAATAGACCATCATATTGAATTCATTTCACCTTTTTAACTGTTATTTAGGCATATTCTGTCAGATCTGTCTGAAAATGTTCATGATTATTTAATGTCACATGTTCTGACTTGTTTATTGAAGAGATCAACGCTTTCAGGGACACTGAAAGTGTAGTAATAGATGGCTTCAACACACTAAATGTTGAAGCCATCCTATTATAGTCATCCACATGACGTAGTTCAACTTTTTCTTTTAACTATTTATCTAGAGAGTCCAGAGAATTGTACTGCACTGGTTTTAACATTATGATATGATCAGAGATGGAAAACACCATTTACAGTCAATAATGGCAAATTACCATTGGAAATACATGGTTTTAAAGCTTTTTAACAGTTATAGCGCCACCTATGGTCCGATCTCCATGAAACTGTGCATGCTTCTTCAACATGTTATGACACATTTGCTCATCAATTTTTGTAAAGTTCTGAGTTTTCCTTTAGGATTTACAGGCTTTTGGGGGCTTTTTGTCACGCCCTTTTGTAAATGACCCTGTTATAGCAAGACAAATGACAAAGTTGAACTTTTTTTGGATAATTATTGATCAAGAGAGTCCAAAGAATTATCCTAGACTAGTCTGGTTCCGATCGGGCAAAAAACCAGGGACTAGTTCGCAAAAGTAGGTTTTTAACATATTCGTGAATATTTAACGAACGAATTGATTGACAGCAATGGTTCTTGAGGCAAAGTTGTTCATCATGAGGAGATCTATCAATTGATATACATTTTGTGGGGGTGTGTGTGCAACACCACGTGATTACAGAGCAATAAAACTCGTTAGCGCCAACTAGTGGCCGATTTCTTTCAAAATTCTTACAGACCTCTAGGGCCATGAGTCGAACATTCCCAACGAGTTTCGTTCCGATCGGCCTTCGTTAACCTTGTTTCATAGATGCTCAAACTTCATTGGCGATGGCGGCCATGTTTTTGAGATACACCAATGTCCTTATAGACTTACATGAGGCCTTGGACCAAGACACTGCATACCAATTTTCAAGTCAATCGGACTGACGGTCAGGTGTTTATCTGTTTTTTTCATTTTATAGCGCCACCTAGTGTTCAATCGTCGCGATTTTTTTAGTGTCACCTCAAATTGAACTCTTACACGTGTGTACCGAGTTTGGTGAAGATATCTCATTTACTTCTCGAGCTATAGCCATTTTAGTAAAATAGGCTCCTCCCACAACGTTTATTTTGCTTCCCCTAGCGACCGAAACGAGAAATTTCAACATTTTTTTGATAATTATTGATCTTCACACTCCAGAAAACATTTCTGCACTGGTTTGGTTCCGATCGGGCAAAAATCCAGGGACTAGTTCGCAAAAGTAGTTTTCGACAAAATTCAAAATAGCGGAAAAATTTGCATACCGGAAATGAAATCGGAGATATACGTTTTTTTCGTCAGGTGACCAGCTTTCCAATGATATAAGACACTTGAGTGTACGATTTACGGTCTAGGAGTTATGAGCAGTTTCGCGCAATTGGTCGCTATAGCGCCACCTATGGGCCAATCGGGCTCATAATTTGATAACCTCTCCTCGATTTTGTACTACCATCTGACAAAGTTTCAGAGCTGCAGCCCTTACGGTTTGGTCTGCACTATGCGTTTTAGGGGAGAATAATAATAATAATAATAATAATTAAAGCTGCAAGCAGCATTTAGCGGGGTTCAAGCAGTTTAGGCCTTTAAGGCCTTTAAGCACAAAAGCATCAAAAGACATTAAGGTTTAAGTTTCAATAATGGCAATTTACCATAGGGAATACATTGTTTTTAACATTTTTAACAGTTATAGCGCCACCTATAGTCCGATCTCCATGAAACTTTGCATGCTTGTTGAATAAGTTATGACACATGTGCTCATCAATTTTTGTGAAGTTCTGACTTTTCCTTTAGGATTTATAGGCTTTTGGGTGCATTTGTCATGCCCCCTTTTATTAATGACCCTGTTTTAGCAAAACAAATGACAAAGTTCAACTTTTTTTGATAATTATTGATCTAGAGTGTCCAAAGAATTGTCCTAGACTGGTCTGGTTCCGATCCGGCAAAAAACCAGGGACTAGTTCGCAAAAGTACGTTTTTAACATATTCGTGAAAATTTAACGAACGATTTGATTGACAGCAATGGTTCTTGAGGCAAAGTTGTTCAGCGTGAGGAGATCTATCAATTGATATACATATTGTGGGGGTGTGTGCAACACCACGTGATAACAGAGCCATAAAACTCGTTAGCGCCAACTAGTGGCCGATTTCTTTCAAAATTCTTACAGACCTCTAGGGCCATGAGTCAAACATGCCCAACGAGTTTCGTTCCGATCGGCCTTCGTTAACCTTGTTTCATAGATGCACAAACTTCATTGGCTGATGGCGGCCATGTTTTTTTAGATACGCCAATGTCCTCATAGATATACATGGGCCTTGGTCCAAGACACTGCATACCAATTTTTCAAGTCAATCGGACTAACGGTCATGTGGTCATAGCCCTTTTTATGTTTTTTTCATATTATAGCGCCACCTAGTGTTCAATCGTCGCTATTTTTTTACTGTGACCTCAAATTGAACTCTTACACATGTGTACCGAGTTTGGTGAAGATATCTCATTTACTTCTCGAGTTATAGCCATTTTAGTAAAATAGGCTCCTCCCACAACGTTTATTTTGCTTCCCCTAGCGACCGGAACGAGAAATTTCAACATTTTTTTGATAATTATTGATCTTCAGACTCCAGAGAACATTTCTGCACTGGTTTGGTTCCAATCGGGTAAAAAACCAGGGACTAGTTTGCAAAAGTAGTTTTTCAACAAAATTCAAAATGGCGGAAAAATTTGCATACTGGAAATGAAATCGGAGATATACGTTTTTTTCGTCAGGTGAATAGCTTTCCAATGATATAAGACACTTGAGTGTACGACTTACGGTCTAGGAGTTATGAGCAGTTTTGCGCAATTGGTTGTTATAGCGCCACCTATGGGCCAATCGGGCTCATAATTTGATAACCTCTCCTCGATTTTTGTACTACCATCTGACAAAGTTTCAGAGCTCTAGCCCTTACGGTTTGGGCTGCACGATGCGTTTTAGGGGAGAATAATAATAATAATAAAAATCAGTACAAAAACAATAGGGTTTCAGCACTTCGTGCTTGAACCCCTAATAATAAAAATCAATACAAAAACAATAGGGTTTCAGCACTTCGTGCTTGAACCCCTAATAATAATAAAAATCAATACAAAAACAATAGGGTTTCAGCACTTCGTGCTTGAACCCCTAATAAATTGGTAGGAGGGGTGGCGCCCCAGCGCCCATAATAGACCAGCCGCCTCTGCTTTCCATTAAACTCAAGGTTACATAGATAAACTTACCTGATATGAAGTGAGCACTGCAGACGCAAGCATTTTTTATTATGTCCTAGCTCCAGTCAACACGTTTAATCGCTTTCAGCCACAGGCGCCGCCGGTTCTTCTTAAGTGGTCGTGATCCTGTCGGAATCGTATAAAACTTAAGTCCTTTGGTGGAATATCGATTGGTGCAACCGTAAACGCAACAACCAGATATTTTGATGCTGGGAAACCCATTTAGATAAACATTCAGAGTTGCTAATAAGTTAGAGCCAGTGGGAAACACCACCACTTCCGTTGCCAAAATGCGCGCACAACTATTTGATCACGTGGGCTGTAAAAGGGTCTATATACCAGAGCCCATCTAACGGAGAGCCTTGGCACTTCCTATTAGCCCCATTGTGTATCATCTTGGTTGCAGTTCCATTAGAATTCCACTGGAGGTGATCGCGGGCGAGTGCAGAATGAATAGGAGTCTATGGAGCTAAATGGCTAAATGTGTCTCTTTCTCCTGCTTGTCGTTGAATCAACATAGATTTTATTGTTGATTCTGCAAGTTCAATATAGATTATAGGCCAAAAGTTGAATGAACGAGTACTTATGTCCTTTCGATTTCTTACAGGTTAGGCCGTTGTTGGCCGGAACACGCTAGCATTCTGCTATTATGTGACGTCATCACATTTTTGAACTGATTTTTAGAACAGATAAGTGAACTTGAAAATGCAATTTTCAGCTGAGTGTATTATCTTAGCCCTCCCTTTTGAATGCAACTTTCAAATTACTTGACAAAAAATGACATCCTGAGAAAAGTGGATTTCTGGGGGTGAAACCCCATAGACTCCCATTCATTTTTTTTCTAGCTTTGAGATTTGAGTTTTTCCGCGAGAAATATCATTGCTTGCAAATGAGCGAAGCATGTTGCTTAGTGTTCGGATGTACAAATGAACACAAAAGTATTTTTTAGTTCCTTCATCCACACCTCTGAAGAAACAATGGGTTCCTTTTATTTTCTCTGGAAATGCGCCGACTCAACTCCCAAAGTTTTGTATGGGTAGGAGACAGGTAAGTTAATCTTTCTCTCAAAATCATTCGATACCGTTTATGCATCAGTAAGTCAAGCCAGAATATTGTCAACTTCACATCGTTTCTTTGAGTAGGATGAAAATAATCTTATTTAAAGAAAGTGTTTAGCAGGATTTATTGATATTCGTAAGCACGCGCTGCTTTGTTTAACGTTATGTTATCTGCAGCCGGCAGCGTCGGTTTTCCTTTTTGAATGACGAATATAGACTAATATATCTGCAGAAATAGGCTCATTAAATGCAGGCGCAGAACGCAGATTCTAGCTGTCAGTCGGCAGTTCTCTCGGTGAGTTCAAGTGCAGCTTTTTACCTCGACGAGAGCGGACGAGTTTCGGGCTTTAGAGAGAACAAACTGCGTTACACTGCACAACGAAGCTCTTGCTGTACATCGTGTCTGTATTGGTGCAAGCAGAGAGTGCAGAAACTGCATGATTATTCAATAAGATCTTCATTCTCGCGATCGACAGACTGTCATCTGCTGCTCAATACTCATCATCACAGCAATATTTTATGTGATGAGAATCTAATACTTCTCGATATCTGTAATAGATTACTGAATTTGTCCTTTATTTATTTCTAAAGAAACACGACAATGTATAAAATGCTCCATTACCTTGTAGCTTATGTTATGTTTGTAGCTGAGTAAGTACTTATTGAAATGAAGTACCTACTCATTGAGTATGCGGTTTGGAACGCAGCCACTCTCTCTATGGGCTGTGCACAAGCGTAGTTTCGAACTTCCGCTTTTGTCAGAAGTCGGCGTGTCAGTTTCCGGTCTACGACTGGTCATCCGCATCCACTAATAAACAAACAAGATGAGTGCTGCTGTTGTACGAAAAAAAGTTCTTAAACACATCTAAGTTTCTAAGAACTGTGGTGGATCTAACGTCCGTTTCACACCCGTTTTCAGTGTGTGTTGCGGTGCAGGAGCGTGTTCACATATTATGATGCGTTTGCAGTGAATAACTGATCCGCCACGGCTGTTCAACAAACACATACTTAATATTTTTATTATTTTTTGTGCGTCTCCCAAATGTCTGTTTTGTGCAGCCACTGCGCACGAAGGTTGGTGTTTATCAGGAAGCAATAGAAGCTCAAATGGCTGTTAGCAACTTGAAGCTGAGCAAAGTGCCACACAGCAGTCTCCTACGCACCATGTAAACAGGTTAGAGCTTTCACTTTTCACTGGTGTGGTAACTGTTACGTATAACAGCAGAACAGCGATCGTTTCCACACCGAATCTATTTCTGCTGTGCTGCAAACGCAGGTGGTCAAAATGATAAAGATTGACCTGAAAATTGACCTTCCTTTGTTAGATTTCTTTATTGTTTATTGTAATAAGAAAAAGTTCAATTAAAAAAAAATAATAATAAAATAAAGTCCCTATTTACTTCATATACTCCTGTCCAGTTGGTGGCGGTAAATGCACCTTTTAGCTGGTTTGCCAACCCCCACAAAACTCCGATGAAGAAGAAGATCCTCATTCATATGGGAAGTTTTTGTGCTGCTCTGGTGAACGAACATCGCTGAGCGTTTCTTCCTGTGGTTTTGTCTTCTCATGGATTACTCTTCGTGATTCTTTGCTGCATGTCCTGGATTGGTTTATACCGTGGACTGTTTTATGTAAGTTTGCTGCCTGACTTTATGCCTGTATTTTCAGATTACGAGTTGCTTTGTTTACTGTTGTGTTTGCTGGTGATCGACCCTGATATTACGACCAAGATTAATAATGAATCCTCCCTGAAGCCTCAATACAAGTGAAGTTTTGACTTATAATTACCATGGAAGTGCTATAAAACCTAAATAAGGTTATGTGTGAGTTTTTCTGCCAACAGTTTGATGTATTTTTGTGACTTGTATCACCACGTGTTAAAAAAAAAATCTCCACACATATCATTTTGGTGAGTTGAGTTTGTGGGTTTAGGTTTTATTTTGATGTTAATGTATGTTTTTAGCCATATAGTTATGTGGCAAAAAAAAAAATCAATACTAGAAAATTAATATATAATCATTACCATATGATAGATAATAAGAATACCTTAAAATGGTTTTTAAATGATTAAAATCTGATAATATTTAAGAAAGTTATGGAATTTTTAAATTTCGAAATTAGGGGTCATTTTTTTTACCTAATTAAAACAATGAAAAACTGACCTCTTCCGCTTGAACAAACACTTCAAAATATCATAACGTCCTCATTTCTTGGTCTATTTGTATAATTCAAACACCACAGTGTAGGTAATTAAAAGCCCAACAAGATTAAGATTACCTATTTTTAAAAGGAATAGATACACATTTATTATTTCTATTAACCACTTCCTCTGATGAAACCGAGAGCATCAATCCACACATATCTTTCCATATGAAATCAAAATCCTCGCAAATAAAATCTGTATTCACATATTTATTGTATTAAACAGGCGATTGGCATTGACACATGAATTTCATTGTTTCATTAGTAGGCCATTTCTTGACTTAATGCTGGCAAGCAATTTAAATGGTAAAATATTATTAATTCAGTTTAATCTACAAATACAAAGCAATTTTACTTCTGCTTAAATATGTTAGAGATTATTTTACATCACTAGAGCTAAAAAGACAGGGTTTTCATCAAAAAATTGTGAAGTTTTGGAAGCCAATATGATCGAATGGCTGATTCTGCTTTTGACTACAACGTCACTTCGTAAAAAAATCGTAAAAAAAACACATGCGAATGTTAATCGCAAACTTCGCCTAATTCAAGTTAAATTGATAATCTTTCAAAAGTATTGGGTTTGAAACAAAAAAATTCTCCCCTACATAGAGGATTTTGATGCCAAACACAAGAGATGTTGCTTTGCTTATAACTTTCTTCTTACTACAGCCATCTTGGAAATTTGAACGTCAGAATCAACGTGATGACGTAATTTACGTCACTATTATATGGGCTTTAGAGGTATTCACAAAGCAAAAATACAACAGATTTCCTTAGTCACCAACGCGTATTGCGCTGACTACCTGCTGGGAACATAGCCGTGGGAACCAAGCGCTTGCGCGTATATAGGTCAGTTTGTCACATACCTAAGCCATATCTGTGACGTGTATTAGATTGCAGTGAATGTTAGGGAGGACGGTAGTTAATGTGTCTTTTCTCATGCATCCTTCAGCAGAAAGACCATTAATCTGAATACTGTTCTCGCTGAGGTGTATAAATGTGGTAAAAACCACATTCTGGTTGATTACCTACTGTATGATTTGGAGCATTCTGTCCCAAAACTGGCTGTCAGCCAATGTCATACTAGACGGTGGGCCGAACGTGTTTTCCATGTTGTTGATCGATCTCCATCGGTAGAGTATACTCTTCTTTTATGTATGATATAAAGTCATTATATGTAGTCAAATAATTTTTTTTGGCAATTCTGGTTTGGTCATATATTTTTTCACAAACATGTTTTATTTGTCAATAGTCTTACTACTACTAATAGTCTTTAGTAGCTGAACCAATCGGTTTGTAGTTTTTAACTGATTAAAAATACTAACCAATCGCAGACGGCCAGACTAGGACCCCGAAATGGGCGTGAGTGACATAGCGGTAATGTTATTTTAGGCCTATATATCTAACATAAATAAGACACTTTATCTTCAATGGAGTGTTGTGTGTTACTAACTGTACATCAACAAACATCATACCCTTTTCCTTAACAAGTTGGATCAAATTTGTTGAATGTTTTTTAGAGTGGGTGAATTTAAATACAAAAGAAAGCCAAATCGCCCAAAAAGCTGTGGGAAAATATGTTTAGTTTTTGATGTATTTTGATGTTGTGCCCACCTCTGTAAAGAGTTTAGTAAAATTATTGCTACATGGTCTAATAAATGAGGATTAACATTTATGAAGCACTTAAAAAAAAGAAGTCTAACTAGATGAGCCCAGATTAAAATGCATAGAGTCAACATGGCATCATGACTTTTGCGTAAGCATAAACGCCACTTTCATCAAGTCAAGTGGCGTTTTATCTTTACACATTTTGAACTATTCATGTGTATCCTCGGCCGCGTACATCTACGCCGTTATATGTCCGCGTGTATGTACACGCCATTAAATGTCAGAGTGAAACGAAGCAAAATGTAGACATCTGGGAGTGATATTTTTCTTGCTAGGATGGTAGGGGAAGATAGCGCGTCATACACCATTTCATGAGATCAGTCTGATGCAGTAATCCCACTTTGTGTGATTAAAAACATACCATTAGAGTTTAGCAGTAACTTGAGGTGGTTATCCTACTTGCTATTAGCTTGTAGTAGATGAAACTGAAAATAAGGTTGACATTACATTTGTTGTTGTTAGATGATAAAATGTATAACATTTAAGGATACATATAATGTTATTTAATATATGGTATTAGGGCTGGGCGATATGGGAAAAAAATGTTATCACGATATTTTTTTCCATATTGATCGATCTCGATTCTTATCACGATATGTAGTTTTTGCAGATGTTGCCAGTGTAAGGGATATCCTGAAGCTTGAAGAAATAAGAGATTCACTGAAACTTTAGAATAAAGTTTAATAACATGAAAATTTAAACAATATACCTTCCAAAAATGAGCACAAAATATTTTTGTCAAGGTCTTCATGCAGACAAAGGATTCACATTACACTCCCACATTGTATGAAGAGAGCAGCAGGGCCCACAACTGGCAAAATAAAATTCAGAGCAGCGCTCGTTCGCTCATACAGAGTTTTATATGCTTTCAAACAAGTGCAAACAAGTAAGTGACTGGTCAGTGGTCACTTTTCAATATATTTTACATTTTTTGATTTTGTAAAGAGCTCGTACATGGGGTCTAACACTTGGATCAGTTTTCTGAAGCCATCTTTTTCAACTGTACTCAGGGGCATCATATCTTTAGCGAGGCAATAAGTAATAGCGCTCGTTATATTTTTGCTCGTCTGTTTTTTTTTCATACGGGGCAATGGCTGCAAAGCACGACTGAATTGGATTGTTGTCTCCCGCTAGCAATGCTAACAGGCGACGTAATGGTTCTGCTTGGCTGTGTGTGAGGTGTCATGCCAGCAAGAGCACGCAGATTAACACTCTCAGAGTAATTATTGTGGTGGTGCCGTCTCAAGTGATGGAAAAGATTGGTTGTATTCCCCGTCCTGGCTGGTACCAACCACCGGCACATTTTGCAGACTGGCTTCGCCTGTTCCTGGTCGTTTTATCCAAACTACGTCCACCCAATTGACGTCGTGTTACCTTTTTTTTTTCAACAATGTCTTCGGTCTCGAATGATGTAGTGATGTCGCCTTTACATTCGGCATTATTTTCGCTGTCTTCAACCTCAGTTTCGCGAATTTTTTCTCCTTTTTCCAAACTTTTCTCCCTCTCTCTCAAGTCTCCTTCTACTGCTCGCTGAGAAGTGGGTGTATCCTAATGGCATACGGCAGACTCTGATACTGTTGTGCTTACTTTTTCACGTGATATTGAATAATATGTCCCAAGCTTATTATCGAAATCGTTCAAAATTTTATAGCGATCCTGTATCGAGATCGAATTATCGCCCAGCCCTATGTGGTATCTCTTCCATGACTAAGCTATTAGGATATCTGCTGTTGATGTAAACTTAGTTAATACTTGTTATCTCTTCCATACCTAGCTAGTAACGTTAGAATGTGTAGTTGACGTAATCGTATGTAGCTAGCTAATAACGTTACATGTTATCTCTTCCATGACTAGATGTAAACTAATAAGATAAATGTTATCTTTTCCACTTTAATCTCTGTCTAGTAATCCTCTTTTACATCCTAATTTACAGTGCTACAGCCTAATAGAATAACTAATAGAATAACAATAGGTTACTGTCGTAACCCCGGTTCTCTGAAACATCGAGTGGAGAGATCCACCTATGGGAAGGGCATCCGTACCTGACCTCTGCAGAAGCATCCAATTGCACCAAGTCTGGCTAGACAGACAGAAACGCGCGGCCAGTGCCCGATGAGGCCACAACCCTCACCCACGGGCATATAACATCTGGGCGCGCTGCTATTCCTCAGTAAGTATATTCGCTTCTCGTGCGGCAAGCGGGGCAAAGCTGGTGGATCTCTCCACTCGATGTTTCAGAGAACCGGGGTTACGAAGTAACCTATTGTTCTCTTTCATCATCTCGTGTTCGAGATCCACCTATGGGAGAGACATGGACAGCTCCCCGATTGCCCAATACACTCACAGTGAGGTTCTGAAGCCAGAGAAGGACGGTCACCTCAGGGAGGCGGTGCCTGACACGTCCCTTAATCATGAGCCTGCGATGGTGAAACCACACCTAACTAATGTGGACAAGCAGGACATGAAATACGCATGGGACACATGCGAGATAGTAACCCCAACCCACCAAGACATAATCTATACCCGAAAGGGGAAAAAATGATAGGTGACAGGAATGAACATGGCCAGTCAGCCCATTCACTCTTAATGGTATATATATCCCAACAGGGTTACAGCAGGGAGGGGCTAAGACGACCCGACCCCTAGAACCGAATGTGCTACCGAGGTACTGGTGACATCCAGCCGGTAGTAGCGCACGAAGGTATGAGGAGAAGCCCAACTGGCAGCGGAGCAGATGTCCTGCAGTGACACTCCCCTAAACAGAGCCCAAGAGGTGGCTAAACCTCTTGTGGAATGAGCTCTGATGCCCCTAGGGGGCTGCACTCCCTTTGCTTTGTAAGCCATGGTAATAGCATCCACAACCCAATGTGAGAGGCGTTGCTTCAAAATTGGACTCCCTAAGTGAGGGGGAGCCCATGAAACAAAGAGCTGGTCGCTCTTCCGGAAAGCATTCGTCCTGGTCATATATGCCTGTAAGGCACGGACTGGACACAGAGCGTTCAGCCTCTGATCCTCTAGAAAGGTAAAAGGTGGAGGGTGAAAAGCGGACAGCTCCAACACCTCCGAAGTGAACGCAGGGAAGCACTTCGGCATGAAGGCCGGGTTAGGCTTAAGGAAGACCTTATCTCCACTAAGAGAGAACTTAGAGCACGAGGGATGAACCGAGAGTGCATGTAGTTCACTGACACGTTTAGCAGATGCCAAGGCCAAAAGCAAAGCTGTCTTGAGAGACAGCAGCTTAAGGGATATACTATCCAAAGGCTCAAAAGGGTGTTGAGACAGAGCTTCCAGCACCATGGAGAGGTCCCACTCCGGGACAGTTCTCCTGACGACTGGCAAAGAGCGGCGTGCACCCTTCATAAATCTGCGGATTAGAGGGTGCTGACCGACGGTCGAGCCCTCAAAACCCACATGACAGGCTGAAATAGCAGCCAAGTGGACCTTAATGGTGGAAAAGGACCTGCCTTTATCCATGAGGTCTTGAAGGAAACACAAAATATCAGGAACTGAACACTGATAAGATGTGATACCGCGCCCATCACACCACCCCTTGAACACTTGCCACTTACAGCCATATAAGGGCCGTGTAGAGACGGCCCTGGCATTCTGAATAGTGATAACCACACGTGGCGAAAGCCCAAGTGCGTTCAGGTTCGTCCTCTCACGGGCCAGGCCCAGAGAGCCAACCTGTCCGGGTGGGGGTGGTAAATCTCACCGTTGGCTTGGGATAATAGATCCGTGCGAACGGGAAGGCACAATGGCTCGGCGTATAACAAAGGGATTATCTCCGCCAGCCACGGTGCTTTGGGCCATCTGGGTGCTATCAGAATGAGAGACAGGACCTGCTCTCTCACCCTGGCCAATGTGGGAATATCAGGCACAGGGGAGGAAAAGCATACAGGAGCACTCTCGGCCATGGGTGGGCCAGTGCGTCTACCCCGAGGGGCGTGTCCATGTCCCTTAGAGAGAAGAACATAGGACAATGGCAGTTTCCGCGCGAGGCGAATAGATCTACGCTCGCCCGTCCGAATCTCATCCATAGCATTTCACTATCTGCGGATGAAGACGCCAATCCCGTAGATTGGGTTTCCCCTTGACAGCAGATATGCGCCGACGTTCAGAATGCCTGGGACGTGAGTCGCGCGTAGCGACAAGAAAACCCGTCTGCTCCACACCAAGAGCTTGTGAGCTAGGAGGTGAAGTTTTGACGAGCGCAAGCTGTCCTGACGGTTGATATATGCCACAGCCGTGGTATTGTCGCACCGTACCAGCACATGATGTCCCTGCAGGCGAGGCGGAAAATGATTCAGAGCTTTCCAATTGTTAAAAAGCTCTAAATAATTTATATGTGCTGAACGTAGTCTGTTTGGCCACAGACCGTTCACCGTTTTGCCCTCCTGGGTGGCACCCCAGCCTGTTAAGGATGCATCTGTCGTCACCACTTTCCGCATCGTAACCGCCCCGAGAGGGGTTCCCCGTGCGTAAAAGTCTGCGTTCTTCCAATGGCGCAGGGCTGCAGTGCACGCGCGCGCGTCACTGTAACCGAGCGGCAAAGGTCGCGAATCGGGCTGAAATGTAGCGACAAAACCCATTTCATGAACGCCCTCATCTTAAGGAGTCCTAATGGCACAACTTGGGTGGATGAAGCCATGAGACCCTGCATCCTGAGACATGTGCGATATTGCACTTTCGCCCCTTCTCTGAACTGTGACAGACAGCTCATAGAGAGCGAACGCGCTCTAGAGAGAGACGCGCTCGCATGGCAACCGAGTTCAACTCCAAACCCAGGAAATTGACATTCTGACTGGGCGTGAGATTGCTCTTGCCCACGTTCACTTGGAACCCGAGCGATGTGATGTGCGCGAGCACACGGCCGGTGTCCTGCAACACCTTCTCCTACGATTCGGCTATGATGAGCCAATCGTCTATGTAAGTCAGGATTCTCAGACCTGTTATTCTCAGAGGCGTTAAGCCCGCCTCCGCGCACAGACAGAAAGACCGGGGACTCAAACTGAGTCCAAACGGAAGAACTGTGAATTCGCAACATATGCCCTGGTAGGCAAAACGAAGAAAATTCCTGTGCGGAGGATAAATGCTTATGTGAAAGAAAGCATCTTTCAGATCGACTGATGTGAACCAGTCGTTCTGTTTTATGGCACGGGCGAGTGCGCCCTGTGTCAGCATTCTGAAGGTGTATTTCCTCAAATGTTTGTTCAACACTCGAAGGTCCAAGATAGGGCGGAGAGAGCCGCCTTTCTTTGGAACCAGAAAATACCGGGAATAAAAACCCTGGTTCATCAGATTGGGGGGTACCACCTGAATCGCTCCCTTGTTTAAGAGAGATGAATTTTCCTCTTCCAGAATGTGAGAAGCTTTCTCTTCCGTGTGAGAAAAGAGAATGCCGTTGAAATGAGGGGGTTTTACTGCGAATTGCAATCTGTAACCCTGCATTATTGTACGCATAACCCACTCGGGAGCCGAAACGGTTCGCCAAGCCGCTTCGTGACTCGCGAGTGTCCCCGCTCGGGACAGAGCAGAGCTGTGTCTTGAGACCAACAGAATTATTTGTGATGCAATGGCGCCATCTCGTGGGCACACTAGAGGCGACATGCGGGGGTTCGGAGGGGTTTCCTCTCTCTGCAGTGAGAAAGGTTCTCTCTGCGGAAAGAGGTTTTCCCTCCGAAACGAATTTGTTAGATTCGTTATTATTTGTGTTTTGTGTGTTTTGTGTTGGGCAAACACTGCGTGAACTGGGCAAACATGTGGTGTACACTGTGCTAAACTTTCACCCACAAGGAGCCCCCTGAAACTGGGGGGAAAACACACATCTCCTGAACACATGAACTGGGCAGTCTCAAGTGCAGGCAGAAAATACTATCCATTTTTAAGGATATATAAGAATAGTTTGTTTAAACGTGTATTTAGTTATGTGTTGGGAAACACAATGACCAAAGCCTTCCACACACACAACGTGCACTAGAAACACATGGCTTGCAGCCGCAACTGAGCTGTGCGAGCCCAGCCGGTTGATTTGTGAGGCAATGGCGCCATCTTGAGGGTGGACTCGGGGCGACATGCAAGGGATCAGAGAGATTTGCTCTCTATGTTGACGCAGATATAAAAATCTGCACGAATTCATTTGATTCGTTTAATAATAGTTTGTGTTTTGTGTTGGGAAACACTGGGGCAAGCCTTTAATAACTGGGTGAGGGAACCAAGTGTGTGCGGTGTGGTAACACTGCTTATGTACTTTCCCTCACAACAGCCCCCCTGTGGCTTGGTAGCCACGAGACGGGATTACCCGACCGTCCGACGGAGACCCCGTGTCTTTCGGACAAGGGTTCCGGGACCGGGAGAATACGGAGGGCTCGTGGCCCGTGAACGCGGGCTGGAGGCTCCCATGGTGGAACTCCCAGGCGGGCTGCTAGCGTTCAGGGCCGCCTTCCTACTCATCAAGGCCCGTGAGACAGTGTTAACAGTCTAGCGGGAGGCTCTAGGCGCGCTTGAGAGCTTCGCGAACACTGGAAAAAACGTTGAAGAGTTGTTTCCTCAGGCTGGGCGGTGGTACCCGCGTTTACCCGTCGTAAATATTCCTATCCTGGTCGGTGGCGCTCTATGGAGCTGGCCACACAATGTTGAGACGAACGGCCGCTCGCTCACAAACTTCCAGGAGGATCGACTGAGGCAAAACCGCGTGAGCGCTAGCTTAGGGTAACGTTAGAAAGACCGCGTCATCCTCGTCGCCGGAACCGACCGGTTCGTCAACGAGAGTGAGGTTTTCCCGCGAAGATGTCCTCTTCAGGGAATGCGGATTGGGCTGAATACCGCTCAAATATTTTATCTGTGGCGCTCCGGGAGTCCCCCGGTAGCGCGTCATCATCACCGCGTCCCCCATCCGAGTAAGAAATGCCAAGCACGGTGCGCTGGATAGTGCAACTAAAGCCGGCTTTGTAAAAAGCTACATGGGCAGCAATTACAATGACCGCAATTCTCCGGGTTCTCCAAAGCTTCTTGAGCGTGCTAAGCCCAAGCGGACCGCGCAGAACGAGAGGGTCCTTAGCGGCGATGAGAGCACCACACGCGGCCGGGCAGGCTCGTCGTGATGGACTGTTCCCCAGGGGAAGCGGCTGTTTAGACGGTCACATAGCCATGGGTGGGCCAGCGGTGAAGAACTCGGAAAATCCGTGGCGGGCAGCCATGTAAGGAGGAGCAGGTGAAGGACAGTGAGAGCTCGGCGGCTCCGGATGCAAAATACACAGCGGATAGGCTGAAGAAAAACGACTGTCACTCACGTCTGGCGGAGGCTGATCTGGCGATATGTCCTCCTGTAGACTCGAAAGTGGACAGCGTAACGTTAATCCAACCGAACTGTGTCAGTGCAGAGGTCGCGAGAAGCGAATGTCAACTGAGGAATAGCAGCGCGCCCAGATGTTATATGCCCGTGGGTGAGGGGTGTGGCCTCATCGGGCACTGGCCGCACGCTTCTGTCTGTCTAGCCAGACTTGGTGCAATTGGATGCTTCTGCAGAGGTCAGGTACGGATGCCCTTCCCATAGGTGGATCTCGAACACGAGATGATGAAAGAGAACTGTTTACGTTAACATGCACTGCTAAAATTACATCTAGCTAACGTTTACATGCTAACACATTATCTCGTCAAAACAAATGTTTTCTTCTCTGTGACTGTATGTCATTTCTAACAAGAGTAACTTTAACTATACAAACATAAAACAGAATAATGTTATATGTTAACGGTTTAGAGTTCATGCACAAAGCTAACATTATTAGCTAACGTTATAGGACGGGTATAAACAGCAGCACTTATCAGAGCCATAATTTACGTTACACCTGGAATCATGGATGCCACTGTTAATGTTTCTCGACTTCGGATAGGATTCCTGCTGGAAAATGTTTGATTGTGTAGATTTCGTCAGAGAAGATTTTATGTCATGAACTCATGGTTATTGCTGTGGCTGGCTAGCTAGAGAACACATGCGCTAAGTTACAGTCGTGGTAATATATTTTTAACGAAAACTATTGGCACACATTAGTCACGTGACAATAGAATTCGTTGTTTGATTGGTTAGAGGTATAGTACTCCATCGAGTTTGCCGAATCCGTTTATTAAACGTAAATTAAGTTTTCAAAAAAATATATATAAAAATAAAAAAAACAAACGGATACGTGTTCCTGAAAAAATTTTATAGTATGTGAAAAAAGCAGCTATTCTATCCTCGAGGATCTATCATTTCAAAAACTAAAGCAGATAGCAGCGATCGGCCCACCGTCTACATAATGAATGATCTGAAAACAGGGAACTTTTGGAGACAAAGAGGTTTTTCAGCTGCTCAGTTTAACATGATGTTCCTGTACTTTTTAAATGCAGATTGGATAAAAACACACTGATCACAGTTCAGACCTGCAGTGAAGCCCCTCCCACAACAATTCACCAATAAATACTGGGATTATTCCCATCATCCTACAAGAGAAGGACAAACTCCAGAAGTAGCAGCTGAAATCTGTGTGACTGTTAAAGATGGAGTTTATTAAAGAGGAGATTGAAGACATGAGTGATCCAGAACCATCCAGGATAAAACATGAAGATACTGAGGAACAAATAGGTTGGTGTCCATTCCTGATTCTTCATTGTTGATACTTTGGTAGATGTGAATTAATAAGCAGTATATGGATGATAAATGTTAGAGAAATACATCTAAATGATCATAACCTTTTATAGCAGTTGTCAAACTAATTTTAACTATGACTAATTTTAACTAACAAGTGAATGACAGAATAACAAAGGAAAGATCTTTGTTGTTTTCTGCTATTAAATAAGGGTTCACTTGAACTGATTCGAACTGTATTTCTGTGTATTTCAGACCAGGCGAGAGTGAAAGAGCAAAGACAAGAACTGAATGAAGTGAAGGAGGAACATCGTCACTTTACAATTGAAAGAACAAAAGCCAAGAAGACGCACACCTGCACTCAGTGTGGAAAGAGTTTCACATGGGAAGGACAACTTGACAGACACATGAGAATTCACACTGGAGAGAAACCGTTTACATGCACTCAGTGTGGAAAGAGTTTTTCTCAAGCATCAACTCTCAGTTACCATCTGCTCATTCACTCTGGAGAAAAGCCATTTAACTGTGATCAGTGTGGTAAAGATTTTATTTCATCATCAAATCTAAAATCACATCTGAAAGTTCATTCAGATGAGAAGCCTTATGTGTGTTCTCTCTGTGGAAAGAGTTTTTCATGGCTGGAAAATTTTAAACGGCACCAGAAAACACACAATGAAGTGAGAGAGTATATGTGCTTTGACTGTGGGAAGAGCTTTACTACATCTCATGATCTGAAATTGCACCAAAGAATTCATACTGGAGAAAAACCTTACAAGTGCTCATATTGTGACAAGAGTTTCCATCGGTCTGGAAACCTGAAATCACACGAGCGAGTTCATACTGGAGAGAAGCCGTACGACTGTACTCAGTGTGAAAAGAGTTTCACAAAGAAAGGAACCCTTGACGCACACATGAGAATTCACACTGGAGAGAAACCGTATATATGCTCTCAGTGTGGAAAGAGTTTTTCTCAATCATCAACTCTCAGTTATCATCTGCTCATTCACTCTAGAGAAAAAACGTTTAACTGTGATCAGTGTGGTAAAGATTTTATTTCATCAGCAAATCTAAAAAAACACCTGTCAGTCCATTCAGATGAGAAGCCTTATGTGTGTTCTCTCTGTGGAAAGAGTTTTTCACGTCTGAACTGTTTTTATCTGCACCAGAAAACACACAATGAAGTGAGAGATTATATGTGCTGTGACTGTGGGAAGAGCTTTACTACATCTCATGATCTGAAACTGCATCAAAGAATTCATACTGGAGAAAAACCTTACAAGTGCTCATATTGTGACAAGAGTTTCACTCGGTCTGGAAACCTGAAAAAACATGAGCGAGTTCATGGAGAGAAGCCGTACGACTGTACTCAGTGTGGAAAGAGTTAGTATGTTTTTTAGATCAAAAATAGTCAAAAATCACTACTGCCAAAAATAAAAGGCATTTTTCCTAGCCTGATTTTAGCCTCTGCTTTGAACACTCTGTTTGAAGGGGCGTGTCTGCTGTGTGTAACCGGCCTCTGCTGTGATTTCTAAAAACAACCTTTTAAGCTTTTTCAGTTAATTGGACTCTTTTTAAAGGGACACTTTACCCACTTGCATTAAGCTTTGTATCTTTAGAAACTCAGTCATATTTTTGAATGGTCATGGTTTATTCCCTTATTTTCCTATGAGATGGGAGAAATAAGGATTTAAAGGTGCCCTATACTGGTTTTATAAATTATTTTATAATGTTTCCTGGGTTGCCCTTATAATGCTAGTATGTTTTTTAGATCAAAAATAGTCATAATTTAGAAATAAAAGGCATTTTTCCTAGCCTGATTTTAGCCTCTGCTTTGAACACTCTGTTTGACGGGGCGTGTCTGCTGTATGTAACCGGCCTCTGCTGTGATTGGCTGACATGCTTGCATATGAAATAGCTATGTATGACATGTGAAACTCTCTCGAATAATTTTACTACAGCTATTATAGGTAGGGATGCACCGATATGAACATTTTGGCCGATACCGATAACCGATAATTCTCTATATTTGAAAGCCGATAACCGATATATCGGCCGATAAATCTAAATCCAATTTTTATATAATTTTTGAAAGCCTGATTGCAAAAACAAAAGTCTCACAATTAAAATCTGTCCCCTAACACAATTATAATGTTCTCATTATAATTTCATGTAGCCGATATGACGGGACATTTTGCACTTAACTATATTTTCCTTTTTGATTCCAATCATAGTTCAAGCAATTAAGATCAATAATATTGAACAGTGTGCATCTTAAGTGTCTCAGGTGTCAAGTGTTGAAGGAAATAATTCATTATTTATCAGCTTTAATATATCAGCCAAATTTTATTATCGGGCCGATAACGATAACATAACAATGAGCAAATATCGGCCGATACCGATATGAATATGGCCGATATATCGTGCACCCCTAAGAATAATAATAGTAATAATAACAACATTTAAAATAAAACGAATACCATTATTTAAAATAACACCGGATACTACGGATAGCTGAGTACTCAAGTACTTGGAAGTGACAGCAAACATGAAAAGGTGACGCTTTTGAAATTGCGTCTACATCCGACGCACATGGCACCCTTTACCGTCAATATGAAACGCAGATACATACGGCCAGAAGGCGCCTCCTAGTGGTCTAACCCTAACACTACCCCAGACCTAAACCTACCATAACCGAAGCGTGTTGTATTGACGCTAAAGAGTGCCACGTGCGTCGGATTAGGCGCAATATATGACACCCTGGGATGAGTTTGCGTTGAAAACAGCTATGTGGTCCGACTCACCAGCCATTGTGTGTCTCAACACACACTTTGACTTCAGGGGAGGAACAACTCAACTCTATCTGGAGTGGATTAGAGGACGACACATCGGACGTGTTCCTCCTTATAGAGACTACATAGTGTGTGTGTGTTGGGTTTTTTTTTTTACCCACCTCACACAAACCATGTGCAACAAGCACAAGACACCCATCTTAAATAATGGTGCAAATGGACCCACTGCCCCCGAAGTAAAGTTAATTTATCGGTTGAGTACTTACTCAAGTAGATAAGATGACTAAAATATCCATCACTAGAAAATAGGTTTTTACTATTACAGCTATCGAGATTAACGAATCGTGAGATGTTTTTGAAGTATTTAGATCTATTCCCATCACATAAAGTGTTGCTGTGATTGAGCAAGCAAAGGACAGTGAGTGTGTCGATCTCGAGAATGAAGATCTTATCGTTGCAATGCAGTCTCTCTAACGTTACTCTCTAATGCAGCAGACACGATGATGTAAATACAGTTAACGTTAGAGCTTAGTTGTGCAGTGTAACGTGCGTCATTGAATTCATAACGAGTTTGGCAAGTGTTCAGATAAACTCGCGCTGTGATTGTTCTTTGATCGCTTTCTTTCTGTATATAATTCACAATTTAAATAAGATTTTTATTTCATCCTACTTAAATAAACGATGTGAAGTTGATTTTTAATCACTGGCCTGACTTACTGATACGATTTTAAAGTGAAAGATTACCTGTCTGAACTTGAACAACAACAACACATCAGCTCGATCCGAGGCCAGCTCTTGGCAAGCTGAGGAAACAAGTCGTTGGTGAAATGGTTGAAAATTTCCAGAGAAAATAACGAAGGAACTAAAATATCCTTTTGTATTCGTGTGTAGATCCGAAAAACACTGATCAACTGCCATGCTTCGACTGCGCAGCTCCGTCTCGTCTGTCACTGAACATGGGCTGGCATTATGCAAATATTTTGGGTCATACATATTAATGATCCCGACTTTTACGTCAGAGTCGGTATTATGTGGAGATTCGCACGTTTTTCAGGGGTGTTTTTCAAAAACGAGATTTAAGTAAGAAGGAGAAAACAATGATGTTTGAGACTCACTGTATGTCATGTCCATGTACTGAACTCTTGTTATTTAACTATGCCAACATAAATTCAATTTCACATTATAGGGCAGCTTTAAGTGTTTTACTCCCTACTTATTATGACGTAAAAATCGTCATTTTGCATCATAATAAGCAGGAAGTAACATTTCATTAAAAAGTGTAGAGACTACAAACATTAGCTCATTATTATTCAAGGGTGTGGGACCCACTCACCTTGCACTCGCCCTCATCGTGCTGCTCGCCACAGCCAACTAACAAGGAACATTGATTTCTCTGTTTGCGCTCTTCCAGATTGCGGAGCTGTGAAATGTGGTGCATTGTGGGAGTGGTTGTCTTATATACAAAATGCACCCCTTCTGTCTTTTCTTGGTCAAGAGGCCACCAAATTCAAAAATTCTTTTACATTTCGATTACAAAAATTGATCCACTTTCAATAAAGATTAATGTTGAAATGGGTGAAATGCTCCTTTGGATGAGTTGGGATGGGTCCAGGCACAGGTCCACCATAGAGCGTCCTCTGGATGAACAGAGACACTAATATTAGCGTAGACGGCATCATTCTTACGATATACCAAGTACATCAGGATGTACGGGACATGTTCCTGGTTTCAAGAGGATGGACTCTCTACCACCCTGGAGTTGCCCATGCGGCGGCGGGCTGGTGTGGGTTTGATTATAGCCTCCATGAGATCAGCCGGCATGTGTTGGAGTTTACCCCGGTGAATGAGAGGGTCTCTTCCCTGCGCCTTTGGATTGGGGATAGGTCTCTAACATGATTCCATGTTCTTCCTATCAAGAGTGGAAAATCTATATGTGCGCAAGATATTTTGGATGAAATAAATCAATTAATTTTAGATTAACTCTATCAAAACTGTACGTCCAGTTTACCTGGGTTCCAGCGCATGTGGGTATTGAGGGACATTAGCAAAAGAAGCCCTGAAGGCAGAGAATATAAACTTAGCAAATTAGAATTCATGAATTCAAGTTATTATTAAAAGATATTATAAATAAAATGTGGCAGGATACATGGATGGATCAGGAAGAGAAATGAAGACATTTATAAAGCATCCAGAAAGAAGTGATGGTTAAAAAGAACAGTATAAGAAGACAGGAGGACACTATGCTAGGTTGAGAATAGGGCACACAAGATTAATAATAAACTGCCTGAAGTTTATAGGAAAACACCGGATTAGCTGACTGCAAAAGCGAGTCAAATCTGTATCTCCCCCAAGTTAAAAGGCCTAACTTCACAGCAGAAAAAAACATGTTTACAGCATTGTGGCAAATAGTTGTTTTGGTCTATGTCGCTAATTTTGCGCTTCATGACGACTGGGAGTTGGGTGAATTTTTTTACAAGTCATCTGTTTAAATTATATTTAAGCCTTAAAGTTCTGCATAATTAAGGGTGTGGTCACTTGAGTGACAGGTAAATTGCTGCTGCTTTCACTGCTAGTCATTTGTCAAACTGTGTCTGTGCTTTTTCCAGGATTATTTCATACAATTTAATACACGTATTATACAAGGGGGTAATCCATCGACCGGAAGTTGAAGCCTCGCGGGAGCTGACATCTTATAGCAGAACTTCACTTGCGTTAGCATTCCCATTGACTCCCATTCATTTTGGTGTCACTTTGACAGTGAATAACTTTACATCTGAGGCGTTTGAAGACCCCATTTGTCCTTTATTTATTTCTAAAGAAACACGACAATGTATAAAATGCTCCATTACCTTGTAGCTTATGTTATGGCCCCGTAGAAGCAGTTTTAGTGAAAGTAGGCTAACGATTGCGTCATACCCACGCGATCGATCTGTTGCACAGTAGAGAGATTACCGTATGGACAGGAGGAGAAACTCGCGCGCAATCGGGGAAACTTGGAGGTAAAATGACAAAATAATTAATCAGAACACCTAGCAAAATTGTCTCCTTCTCCTAGCTCATGGACAGCTCCTACTCACACTCTCCGCCTCTGCATGTTTCGGAAGGGAATGATTCAGGTTTCTCATGCCACATCACTAGAAGACAGACGGGTTGCTCTCATCACATCTACGTTATCAATGTCTGTTTGAGTCTGCGCGTCAGGGACGGAAGTGCTAAAAAAATCGCCAAAACGGGCTTCAATCGTCTCAATGGAGTTCCAATGAGATAGCTCTGTCCATTTCTTTTACGGTCTATGGTATTACACCTTCGCCCGTGAACACCGTTGGATTCCGTCGTTGTGGAGTATGGAGAAAACGACCAGTGCTGTATTTCCAGTTGTCTCCCTCACATGGATGTCTGATGATTTCATTGCTTTCTATCCATCCATGCAATAGATGCACACCCTTGAATGAGCGCGGATTTCTAGTTCATTTACTTGAACTTCTGAATTAATATCTTTGGTTTGACCCATCTGAGAAACTGAGAGGCGGCCAAAATCAGATTGTAAAATGGAGTGAATTAAAGCTCTTTATGAACTTGACGTGAGATGGCGACTGACTGACACATGTGCTTGAATTACTGTCAC